AAAACATATATATACCATCAATTCTTTGAAGCTAAACAAACGTAACAAATCTTTTGAACAGTTTAACTCCTGTAAGATGGAATGCAAAAACTACCTTGACATTAACTTTGTAAAATTACAGAATTATTTTTTGTTTTTAAATCTAAAGCAATTTGTTTTATATATATAAAAAAAAAGGTTCATTAATTGGCATGAGAATTATATCAACTTATATAAATATATACACTCGTTTATATTATTGAGAAAACGACCACGGTCCATACTAATTATATTAAATGCCTGTAAAGATTCCTTTTTTATGCATAGTTTAAAAGAAATTGATCAACTAGTTAAAAAAAAACAAAAAAAACTTTTTTTGGCAGCTTTCGTTAAGACTAGAAAATACATTTGGAATATACAACAGTTCTTAATTTAAAAATAGAATTTTAGTTTTACAAAGCTTGAGTCTATTTTATAACTTAAAGGTCTGCAGCTGGTTGGTCATTTCCTGCACGATGGCACTAATTTTGCTTACATTCCGATTTGCTGGAGTGACAGGAGTAGCAGGAGGAGTAAGAACTTCGGTGGTAACACTGCTGGCAACATTACCATTACTTAAACTGTTACCAACAGCTCCAGTGGAGATCTTGGAAAATGAGGTAGAATTTGTATGGACAACTGGTGTTGAATAAGCCATAACGGTGACGCCATTGACTTTCTTAGGGAGGAGCTGAGGCTGATGGTAACGGTTCTCGGTAAGCATGAATCCCCTTGCATCTCCGGCACCATGAATCATTGTGTTGTTGCTGACACAACATGGAACTCTTGCACATGAAATAACGTTGGAGTGACTTCCGCAAACAACAGTGGTTGGTCTAGAGGAGTTGGGTACTCGGCTCTCCTGTCACGAAAAAACAAACTGTGAACACACGGGAAGAGTTTCTATTGAAAAACAACACAAGATCCAAAAATAATCTCTTACACACGCACATATATATATTCCTAATTTTGAACTGTTAAAATAGAGAGCAAGCAGCTAGCCATTAGCACCCACTGCCAACTCTTGGGTTATTCTAATTAAATAATGTCATTCTTATAACAAACTCAAGGTCCCAAAGTGCAGAGTGCATATTTATTTATTTATTTTTTTGCAGTAACAAGATACAAACCATGGTTCAACATACAGTTCTGTGCGGTTCACATGTTCAGGGTTCCAGAAACAACAGACAATTAATGTAAACCGAATTTAATAATTTCAGCATTACACTTAACTACTACAGTTTTCAAGTTGAATGTCAAACATATCAGTAATATAAACTCTAAGAATGACATTCATTGCCAATTAAAACCTATACAGAACTTGGCTTATTAAGAATGACATTCATTGCCAATTAAAACCTCTACAGAACTTGGCTTATTTTCAGCATCTAGTTTACATTAATCGACGATATCCTGCAACAGATTCAAATCTCAAACACAAAATAGTTTTTTTTAAACCTAAATCAAAAACATCCTACTACCAAACTAAATTACCAATTAACAAATAAAATAAAATTTAAATGGAAATTCAAGTTGATAATAACATTGCTTTAACTTTTTAAATTATTGAACTAAAATACTCTAATAACTCTTAAAAAAAAACAGCAGAGGGCTGACATTTTATTTTCATATAACTTGATAACTCAAGTTGTTATCACAATATCAAAAAAATAAGGACTGTCCGTTGTACAAACCCAAGAGGTCTTTATACTAAAGCAGCAGATGTGGAAGTCGATACCTGGACTTCAGTTTGTTTACCTTCAAAATATAATTATGCACTAACTGTATCGTACTAGATAAAGGAAAGCTGGGATGTGTAATTATCTGACATCATTTCTTGTAACTGTTCACATTCATTAAGTACACTTTGATTAAGAAAAAAACTTGCTTTAAACCAAGTTTGATAAAAAAAAAGGATGGATAATGATAAGTTTTATTATATTAATGACCATTAGAATTCAAGTTTTCACCAAAACAAACAAACAAATAAAAACATCTGCTCCAATTTACCACTTTGCTGCTGGACACACAGAAGTTCAGGGCTTTTTAAGATCAATGAAAACAAGAAAACTGTACTACTAATAATGAAAGTTAAACACTGTTAATTAAGAACTTCATTGTTAACCATCTACATCCTGAAACACTGAAATTATACAAACCATAATGCAGACATAGCCATTAAAACTAGCACAACAGATGTAAAACAAAGACTAATAGAGAATGTAAAAACCTTCAATTTAATTCCCTGTATTGTCTCTTACGTGTCACCTAAAAGAAAACGTATACCTTACCTCTCCTGCTGTTCCCAACAATGTGTCTTCTGTGTGTTCCAAAATATGTATGGGAGCAGGCATGGCTGTCTGATTTGTCACGTAAGCTGGCGTTATTGGTACAGCACTGGAAACAGGAACAGTAACATATTGGTACATCTCAGTATTGGGTGCAGAAGCACCATCTGGTGGATTTGCACTAGCCGATGGGTACATAAAGTGTGCTGGAACCCCGGACGTCTGTCAACAGGTAAGGAATATCTTTGACTTATGAAGTTCTCAACCATCAAACAATGGAGGATGAGACTTGCGGTGTAAACCACTTCTTAAAGCATTACACCAATTAGAAAAACAAGAAGAACGTAACAAAAGAACGTTCACATCTGTTCTAGTTAGTATATTACTGTATCACTACACTAATTAGAAAAACAAGAAGAATGACACAAAAGAACGTTCACATCTGTTCTAGTTAGTATATTACTGTATCACTACACTAATTAGAAAAACAAGAAGAATGACACAAAAGAACGTTCACATATGTTCTAGTTAGTATATTACTGTATCACTACACCAATTAGAAAAACAGGAAGAACAAAAGAACGTTCACATCTGTTCTAGTTAGTATATTACTGTATCACTACACTAATTAGAAAAACAAGAAGAACGAAACAAAAGAACGTTCACATCTGTTCTAGTTAGTATAGTACTGTATCACTACACTAATTAGAAAAACAGGAAGAACGTAACAAAAAAACATATTTAAAATGTATTTAAAACTATTAACATATGTTTATTCATCAATTTGTTACTGCAGAATGTGTGTGTTAGTTCTGATGTTGAGTCACTATATCACTAGTATTTAAAACTATTAATACGTATTTATTCATCAACTTGTTACTATACAGAATAATGTATGTTAGTTCTGATGTTGAGTCACTTTATCACTAGTATTTAAAACTATTAATGTGTTTATTCGTCAACTTGTTACTACAGAATAATGTGTGTGTCAGTTCTGATGTTGAGTCACTATATCACTAGTATTTAAAACTATTAATAATGTGTTTATTCATCAATTTGTTACTACAGAATAATGTGTGTGTTAGTTCTGATGTTGAGTCACTATATCACTAGTATTTAAAACTATTAATATGTGTTTATTCATCAACTTGTTACTACAGAATAATGCGTGTTAGTTCTGATGTTGAGTCACTATATCACTAGTATTTAAAACTATTAACATATGTTTATTCATCAATTTGTTACTGCAGAATAATGTGTGTGTTAGTTCTGATGTTGAGTCACTATATCACAGTATTTAAAACTATTAATATGTGTTTATCCATCAATTTGTTACTACAGAATAATGTGTGTGTTAGTTCTGATGTTGAGTCACTATATCACTAGTATTTAAAACTATTAATATGTGTTTATTCATCAATTTGTTACTACAGAATAATGTGTGTGTTAGTTCTGATGTTGAGTCACTATATCACTAGTATTTAAAACTATTAATATGTGTTTATTCATCAACTTGTTATTACGGAATAATGTGTGTGTTAGTTCTGATGTTGAGTCACTTTATCACTAGTATTTAAAACTATTAATATGTGTTTATTCATCAATTTGTTACTACGGAATAATGTGTGTGTTAGTTCTGATGTTGAGTCACTATATCACTAGTACTTAAAACTATTAATATGTGTTTATTCATCAATTTGTTACTACAGAATAATGTGTGTGTTAGTTCTGATGTTTCGTCACTATATCACTAGTATTTAAAACTATTAATGTGTTTATTCATCAACTTGTTACTACAGAATAATGTGTTAGTTCTGATGTTGAGTCACTATATCACTAGTATTTAAAACTATTAATATGTGTTTATTCATCAACTTGTTACTACAGAATAATGTGTTAGTTTTGATGTTTCGTCACTATATCACTAGTATTTAAAACTATTAATGTGTTTATTCATCAACTTGTTACTACAGAATAATGTGTTAGTTCTGATGTTGAGTCACTATATCACTAGTATTTAAAACTATTAATGTGTTTATTCATCAACTTGTTACTACAGAATAATGTGTTAGTTTTGATGTTTCGTCACTATATCACTAGTATTTAAAACTATTAATATGTGTTTATTCATTTCACTTGAACTTGCAGTATTAAAATACAGATTCTGCTAGTTTTAATTGTGTGATATTTTTATGGATGCTTTTTTAGTGAAAATAATCATTAAAAAAAAACAATATGTATGTGTGTGTGTATATGTATGTATGTGTTTGTTTGTTTTCTGAAAGCCAGGGATTTAGTTAAGATGATCAACATTCCTTCAATGTTCTACTAAAACAAGACCACTTACCATATGGTACTGATATTGTTGAGGTAGATAAGCTGGTTGTGAGTAGAGCATGGGGTAGGTAACCTAAAATTCAACATAGTTATGTCAAAACAAAATCCACTTTCACGGTTCGGTAGCACATAAACTTTCCCGTTTCTAGATTATTACATTTGTAGTATTTCAGGAAAATTTATGGTACAAAATTTTATTGTTATAAAAACTTTTGTCCCTCATTATTCTCTATTACAGTTTAAATGTGATTTCCACTTGCAATAATGACTTCCTACCCAACCCTACATAGCTTTACTAGGGTAAATACAGTTAATTAAAAAAAACATGTTACTTCAATGCCACTAGCTTTACAGACAGAGTTGTAGCTACAGTAGGTGGTAGTTGTGACTGCCACCTTCTGCCCATTCAGCACTCCCGTGCAATGTGACTACTGCTGCCACCTAGCACAAAAAATCCCCCCGAAAAAGTTCTCAAACGTGAGAAATTTCTTCGTCACGATTGTAGTACAGTTTACTTCACAATTACCGTATTTGCCCACACATAATGTACCTCCAAATATAACGCACACCCAATTTTGAAAGGTTAAATTGAAGAAAATTTGTTTTACACATCAGTTGTACAAAAATGTATTGAATCATTTCTAAATATAGTAAACAACTGTCAGTGTATTAAACATTTTTAGAAATCTTTCATTGAAATT